TCCCTTGCACACTTTCACTCAGACCATGATTTCAGCATAATTGCATTTCAATGATATGAGCGAATACTCGCGTTTTGTAGCACGTGAAGATGTTGCCCCAAAGCATTCAGCCAGTTTGACTTTTAGGAATCCCCTTTCTCAGCACAGGCAGCAGCCAGCTTGGCGTCGTCTGGCAAGGTAGAGTACTGATAATACTACGCTCTGTTTTGCGCCGTGAGAAGCCCTCCATGAGTGTCTGCAACATCATTGTTGTCGATGTAGAAATACGGATCGCTCAGCGGGTCGACATTCAGCTTCTCCTCGCAGTCGCTATTACTCCAGCACTGACTAGCGTCGCCACCAGTATCCAGTGTCGATTTTATGAGGGCTCTTCATTGCTATGCATATGAGACTCACCACTGCTGGACAAACTCAGCGAGATCGCCACCAAAGAAATAATTCCGATCGCGAACTAACTTTCAGCGTCGCTTCGTACAGGGAGTCTCACGCTGACAACTCTGGACCTAAGTCCTTGTCGCGACACCTGTCGCCATCGCTGTGTCTAAACTCAACCTCCGTTTGACGAGCTCTCACCTAGGGCTAAAATCAATTGACCAGACTCATTTGAAGACATTTGAAACTCCTTTGACAACAAAGACACCCACTCGATCGAAAAGGAATCTTCAAAAGCCAGCTCACTGCGCTCCAAACTTTGACGTCACATTTTGATGATTGATATCAAGTACACAAGTGCTGGTTTTCGCAGGCCGGGGCTCATATTGTACAGTATCTAGCCCTATTAATCAATGCACTTCGTACATGTATTTCCATATCTGCTATTACTAATAAGATACTCTGTTGCGCTTAACATGTGGCTCATGTTTTATAAAATCTGTACTTTTTCGCGCATCTTTACTCATCTGCACGCATGCCGGGTATAGATATTTTCCTCAGAAAGCACGCTGTGCTGTTTTGAAGTAGGCACATGATGCTAAATATGTGAGATAGTTAATTCCTGTATGTAGATGTCTACCTCTGGTCCCATTTGTATAGACCCGTTCAAGTCCCCGTCAAAACATTTAAAATCCAACCTGATACAATCAATCATGCTCATCCATACTCTACCACTAATCACTCTACCACAACAAGTCATCCAAGCAGCGACTGCTCAACATTTGCCTCAGACTTAGAAACTCTCACTTCCTGTGAATCCACCAAATCTTGTGGGATGCAAGGAACGTACATGACGTTTAGGGTTTAAATGTGGTGTTTTTACATCGTTCGGCACTCAGGATATTCATGATACAAGTACACGACGACGAAGGTTGACCCTTCGTTCAGTGGCTTCTCAACTTTGGTTACGTAGTCTTGTTACCTTTTTGCGTTTCCTTCTGTGGTGGTATTGCACCTGTACCATGATATTATGTGGTATTTCTAACACATCAGGATATGCATTCCGCTTATATCAGATTCTTTCTTAAAATTTAGCTCCACCGAAATTGTCAACAGTTATAACGTGTCGAGGTAGCAAGAGGACCATAGCAATGCTTAGAACTGGGCATAGTGTAATAGATCATGTAACATAAAATCAGCACTGCCTATATTATCATAATACTCATAAAAAGGACACACTTCAGGCTCATTACCAACATCTTGAAAGTTTTTGTCCTCACAGGTATACCATCAAGCCTTCTCGTCAGATGAAATACAGGCAAGGGAAAGGAACAGGAACAGTGGATTAAATACAGTACGAAGGTGGTAAACCAGCGCAAAAAAAGAAAATAGCTAAAGTAAACAGCGAAAATTGCAATAATGACACAAAGATGCAAGTGCGAGAAAACTCAATAAGCGTGACATGTAGTGCGACAACAAGAGACAACCACTGGACATACATGTAACTAACGAGGTTTTGACGGCCTACCTAACAGCCTAAGTATTTCGCCTGACGAGAAGTCTTGAAAGTATACTTGTGAAGACAAAAACTTTCAAGATGTTTGTAATGAGCATGAAGTGTGTCCTTTTTATGAGTATTATCGCATTTTTGTCTCAGAGGAAACTGTTTACCTATATTATCACTTATCACAGGAGAAGATAATAAACCATGCATCTATTCATAGCAGACACTTTGTTGTAATATTCGAACAGCAAAGTGTCTTTGATTGCATCACCTCTTGTCAGGTGTTGCAGAGTCAGCATGAAGTTTTCATTTCTTGTTGGCTGAGTTTTACGAAATAAACAAGAAATGTTGTTCTTTTCGAACGAACAGGTCTGGGACCGAGGTCCAACAGTTTTGGGCGTACTGGTACGCCGCAGTCCTTCATCTTTTGTTTTCTTGCTTTGCAAGCTGGTTGCCTTTTTCTGGACTCCCTTGATTTCGTCAGTCGTAGATCTACCTGCCTTTCCGTTATGCCTCCAAGGAAATCCAAGGCCCCCTCGGCAGCGCAGCTGGTACCTCCAAGGAAAAAATCCAAGGCCCCCTCGGCAGCGCAGCTGACCGTGGAGCTCAATGCAATGAGGGAGAAGTTTGAGGCGGAAAAGGAAGAGAGCGCCCTGAGAATCAGGCTCCTCGAGGGACAGCTGGAACGGGGAAATGAGTCGTCCTCGTCCAAGCGTAAACGCCGTAATGTTTCTGTGTCGTCGTCGTCTTCATCTTCTTCGTCATCATCTTCTTCATCGTCCTCGTCATCAGATTCGTCTGACTCGTCGGATGATGGCAGTGACCGGTCAGTAAAATATAAAGTTCTGCAACCAACTTCATCACTAATGCCGCCCAAGGTGCTACTTCCAGAATCCCTTTGAATTCTAGTCAGTGCTATGGATTGGCTTTCCATTTCCAAGAATTTTGTTGGAACTTGCTGATGGCGTGGCACGAGGAAAACATGGATGCAGTGAATGGGATTTCGGTCATTGACCACTTGCAGGTGAGCTGATCTACTCCCCTCCCAACTTTTTAGGAGCTGCTTCTGCGCCTTGATCCTTGAAGGGCGGTGGCGTTCTTACGGATGCCGAAAACCCGGCTTACAGCCGAGTCTCACGGGAACCGTGAATTTTTTTGCTGATCAATTCCTAGAAACGGTGCGCATCTCCAGAGAAGTACCGTCCACCTTCACACGCTTGGAACATCATTTCATACATGTATCACCAAAAATTTAGGTTTCTAACGTTCTGTGTTTTGATATCGGTGCTGACGTCATTCCCTTCCTTCACTGTTCAAGACAAAACTCGTACCTCCATTGTCAACCATTGTCTCCTCATTATGTTTCCAATTTCTCGCAGTATATTGTATGTAAATAGCATGTAGCGTATTTAGGTGGCAATTGCTGCGAGCCCGTGTGTGAATATAAACGCACTCTGCAGCAGTCTTACATAGTGCATTCAGACAAGCAGAGGACAAGATATGAGATGTTGTTATCGCACTATCATTTTTTTCTCAGCTTTTCAAAGCTACCATCAGTACCATGTGAGCATTGTAGACATGAACAACTGTAACGATTACCGAAAAAACAACTGAACACGCCTGTCTAACATAAATATTGTGTATTACATTTTCATCAATTATCGCGATATAATAATTATTATAATAAGTACATTTTACAAAAACAATTCCATTGTAAATTACTGGAAAATTACAGCGCTTAGCACAGTTCGCAAATCTACAGAAGCCTAGGTCAATTGTGCACAATCTCATAAGTCATGGACTCATTAGGACCAGAAGCAAATTCCATAAACAGTATGGACGAAAGCCAACGATAATGCAAGAAAACGAAAAGACGACTACATGAGAAGCGACGAGAAGACGACTATAGGAGAGAACGAGGAAATGAAGCTTAATCAAAGACTGTACATTTATGTCTTTAACTTGGACGTAACGCGAGAAGAGGCAACACAATCCCAGTAAAAATGTTCAAAATAAATTTCTGGTAAGACGGAATACGCAGATCAATGATGTATAACAAAAACAAAACAGATACCAACATATGGCTATAAGAAAGCGAGTAGGAGCAGTTACAAAAGAGGATAGGGATTTGAGAATAGTAGAGAAAAGGAGAGATGCAGAAGGATTAGGGTGTTATCGTTTGCAAATTCGATTAATCTTATGACGTCTCAAACTGGATGCAGAATAAAATTCACAGGCACAACCATTACATACATGCCGCCTATGTCCCGTGTGAGTACTCTGGTGGTCTTGAAGGCATTTTAACTCCGTGAAAGACTTGCAACAGTGTGCACATTTGAATGGCTTCTCTCCAGTGTGGATGAGTTGATGACGCAAAAGATTTGAACTGTGGCTGAACGACTTTGCGCAACCCTTACACTTGTATGGTTTCTCTCCAGAGTGCGTACGTTCATGAAATTTTAGTCTACAACTGTAACTGAATGACTTTTCACACTTCTTGCACTTGAAGGGTTTCTGGTTGTGATGCGTGCGTTCATGTCTAGTAAGACTAGACTGGTTAGAGAATGCCATTTCGCAAAGCTTACATTTCACCAAGTTTCCTTCAGCTGGTTTGTGTGGTTTTTCAGATACAAGTTCACCAGTGCATTGGGGAGATACCGAATTATCGCTAATATTACCTATACTCTGTTGATTCAGGTCAAGGTCAACAGAATAGATCGACGATTCGTCATTAGGCGAGTCACGTGTCTCTTCTGGAGCCGCGTAGTGGTCTGGACCAGTTAGGGAAGAGCGGACTTGTGGAATAGATGTGGGGAGATATCGTTTTCGCATTCTGCCTGTTGACGTCGGCGGCTCCAAGCCAGTGTTGCAAGAAGCTGATGCTGAAGCTTCAGCCTCTTTTTGGTCCTTACTCTGGACTTCGCTACGTGGTGTAGCGATGACGACTGGCTCAGGAAGCAGACAGAAATTTGCTGGAGAATAACCGTGCTGTGCATTGTCCAGCCTGGATATCGAGCTATGCCGTTGTGGATAATCCACAGAAGACGTTTCAGAGGTCAATATGTTATTTCCATGATCGATCGCAGTGTGGGGACGCGCGACACTTGGCACACCATGGTGATACGAAACATGACAAGGCGGTAACCCGCACGGCACTGGCATTTTACTTGTCCATATCACTAATGGTGGCAACACTGATAATTCATCTGAATCCAAACTGCTCTCAGACGTCCAGTCCGCATCATGCTCCATTGTTAACGGAACTCCACCGTCTTCTATGTTGATCGATTGAACAGTCAAGAGCACGGCCAAAGTCAGCAACAGACGATATCTTCAAGCTTGCCGAATAATGAGTTCAAGCTCTATGAGTGATGGCAAGCTGGATCTGTTCACATAAATACAGTTCTCACTTTAATACTGCGGTAACAAAATGTGAGGAAGGAGGATCACGTCCTATTTGGGTACATAGGATGGAATATTAGCTGCGCAAAGTTTGCTTAACCCTCACAGGTGAGATATTCATGACGGACTTGTGCCACATTGTGGAAATTCGGGTACCAGAGACATTATCAGTTTTATTCAACAGAAATGGACGATATCTTCAAGCATGCTGTATAATGATTGTAAACTTTATGGGTGACGACAAATTTGATTTCTTCAAATAAATATTGTTCTCACGTACTGTATTACCACCTCTTAGGAAAGGCAGTCACCTCTGATTTGGGCACCTGTGCTGGTATTTGAAGAACTTAATTTGTGGTAATACTTCGCAGGTGGGATAATCATGTCGGACTTGTCAAGTTTGGTGGGAATTTCACGATATTTCAAGTTTTGTGCTAAAAACCTCGATATGTGTACAGTGCGAACACGCTTTAGCCACTGACGATCGGTTTTGACAGGATCTTTTTCTTGTACTCCGGGTTTCAACTGACTACATGGTACACTTTGTTGTGTGTAAGACAGATCAGCCGGGTCGAGTATCTGGCTCTCTGGTTGTTGTGATAAATGCGTCAAAATGGCTGTGAAGGCGCATCACTTCCTGATACTCTAATAGTCGATTGCTCAACCTCACACTGATTGCATGCAGTAGAGTAAGGTTTGTCTCACGTCTTTATTTGTCTTACGTCTTTAGAGAGGCTTCCTGGTACGAGTCATGGTGGTGACAGTAAATTTTGGTTCTTCAGGCCTTTCCCCTTTGCACCTTTCCCTCAAACGAATGAATGCTTTGTATGTTGGAGCTTCCCTCGTGCTGCATTGCGCGGGAAATGTGTGGGTTACATTGAGAACTCCGTCCCAGCAGCCAGTGCGAATTCACAGGAAGCGGGAGTTTTCGAAGTCAGAGGAACATGTTGAACGAGCGCTGCTTGGACGACCACTACACCTTAGCTCAGTGTTAGAGCATTGCTGGATATTATCGAGTGTCCAGGTTCTAGTCTTGGTCAGGACAGTCATTTTTACCTTTCGTACGTTTCCATCAAGCAAATGAACATTGAGATAGTATTAGGAGATGTGACGAGTTTTGACAAAGATTAGAACAGGACTTTACAATATTACACATGGGACCAAAGATAAACACAGATCGACTATAATTATAGCATTATACCCGAATTTGAAAAGAGCAGGGCTCCTCCTCAACAGCAAATATCCATACAAGGCGTACGTGCTCTGGAGGTAGAATACTAGCGTGCGACTTTCAAAAGGACTGGTTTATCAGCAATCGAAATACGTTACGTCTGTGTAAGACGTGCAAAGGACAACTTGTAATGAAACAGCACATATCAACTGGAATACAATGATACAAAATTATGTTTTGTGATTTTACATGTTATTATTGGTGGCGTCAGCGTGTATGCAAGCAGCTGCCTTGGAATGGAGATCAGATTCGTCTTTTATTGGCACACAAATTACTCCCAGTTCACAACGAACATGATAGTCAGATTTCCCATCAATGTGAAAAACTTATGTTTAATTAAGGGTGTTGGTATGTGCTTAGTTTTTCAAAGTGTGTTTTCGCGATGAAATATTTGCAACGATCGTGGACACATCATCACTTTCTCTTAGGGATGGATTCGTGCATGAACTGTGAGGTTGGTTTTCCGATTGAATGACTTTCCACATTCCTTGCACAGAAATGGTTTCTCTCCAGTATGAATTCGTTGGTGATGTGTAAGAGCTGATGTTTGCTTGAATGCCGTACCACATTGTTGACACTTGAAAGGTTTCTCTCCAGTATGGATGCGTTGATGATTTTGGAGATGTGATGATTGTCTGAATGCCTTGCCACAAAATTTACAGTTAAAAGGCCTCTGTCCGGTATGCCTACGTTCATGAACTCGTAGGTTGCGATGGTGGGTAAACAATTGATCACAGTGATCACACTTAAACCGCTTCTCCCCGGCATGGATACGTTCATGAACAGTAAGATAAGATTTACAACTGAATGACTTAGCGCAGTATTTGCACGTAAATGGTTTCTCTCCTGAGTGAACACGTCCATGACGGTTAAGAATATATCGCGTATTGAAGGTTTTATCGCACACTTTACATGTCAAAGAGTTCTCTTCTGGATGTGTACATTCATGAGATGTCAAACAAGATTGAGCAGGAAATAATTTATCGCTATGCTTACACTTAAGCGGCTTTTCTCCAGGATGTGAATGTGCTCGATCAAGCGTATCATGCTGGGGATCGAGTGACTTATCTGTTTCTTTGCTGAGCGACGTTTCAGGTGGAGTAAGGTCAGTTTGAAGTTGACAATCTTCCTCAAAAACCCACTCAGAGGTGGGGATATTGTTCAGTGTTTGACGATCGTGATGTCTGGGATCCTCAGATATGCTAGACGGTCGAGGAGATACTGGAGAGCGTCTGATTGTGTGAACGTCCATATCGGCCGACTTGCTTGAGTAGGTGCTATCTTCCGAGTCGTACGCTACGTGCCCGTGGCCTGTGTAGTGATCTGAAACCGAAAGGGGATAGTTCACAGTTTGGTTACTTTTGTCTTGCGATCTTTTTTCAGTGTCCACTGCCGGTGTAATGGGATTAGAGCATGGGTTTTCAACAGCTGTTGTTGAAACTTCAGTAGCGTTTGTATCTTTGCTCCTCTGGAACTCTGGTATTTGCTCCATGAAGTCTGCCACATTCTCCAGCAAAGGATGATCTTGAAGGGCACCGGAGGTAGATAGTGATGTGTTCCAAGAGCTGAGTATGGCTCGCTGGGGAGCATTATATGCGTAGGAGAAGTCAGAGGTCGCTACTTGATTGCCGCTTTCAGCATTTGCGTGGTGATGTGCTCCATAAGATGCGCCGTAGGATGCTGCTATATGTGGCAGTGGAGGACACGCAGTAGACCGTTTGCTGGTCCATATCACTAATGGTGGCAGTGGTGAGAGTGCATCAGAGTCCACGCTACTCTCCGAACTCCATTCACAATCATCCATGATTCACTTACTACACAAAGTCTCAAAACTGTAATTTTCTTTCCAAGCACACAAAGTGTCCGACGCGAATGCCAATAATTCAAATAGCAAGAACTCGCCCTAGGAGGTAAGCTTTATAATCGGTAGCATCTGTGTTTCCCGAAATAAGTGGAGGAACATTCTGCTAATTCGTCACCGTCAAACATCTATTTCTGAGCTTTATATTCAACTGACACATGGAGATCTTATCAGATCCTTCGCCTACGCATATACACCTACACGCATCAAAAATTCTACATACCCACATTCACACCCACATTCACGCACATTCACACACACACACACATTCCCAAACACACACACACACACACACACCTGTCCTGTCTTGTTGAGCCACTGCCATGAAGGTTACGTGGGCCCGGGAGGGGCAGCTGAGAGGGAGGAGGAGCACACAGCCCTGTGACGATCCAGGGAATGCGGTAAGCGAAATCGACGGGAGCAGGCGCAACCACATGCGAAACCCTGACGGTCCTGAACGGTCGGACGAATACAAGTCCGTGAGCAGCGATCACGGGCGTGGCCACGTGTAGACGCAAAGCAGCGGGCACAAGCCTGGCAGTGAGCGACGCAGCACAGCGGAGAAGCAGGCAGCGGCAGCGGCAGGGGCGCACCGACTGCTGACTGGGGGTAAGTTCACTTGTGCCATGCCAGACCCCCACGGGACTTCAGCCAACGGCCACACTCTCCACACTGGGGCGTGCAAACTGTAGGTCGCAGGTGTAGCAGGTGACGGGAGGGGGGGGGGGGATGCTGGGCATCTACGGCACACACACACACACACACACACACACACACGCACACACACACACACACACACACACGCGCACACACACACTTGTACTTGTACTTGCTCACTGCCAAAACTGGTCACGTGGGTCTCCCCGGGAGAGTGGAGAGAGACTCAAAAGGAATCTTGGAAAGATGACTCAATTGGCCATTGAACCACCCAACGGCCGACACCCCCTGAAATCCCCAAACTAGGGTGGACTTGAAATGATCCCACTTATGGGCTCACCACACCACACACATATTGGACAGTGTACAGAGCGGATGCAGTTTTGAGAGCTCTGCATCCTTTTGTGAATGTGGTAGTTTTTGGATCCTTATAAAGCATATCTAGGGCGTGCCCTTATAATCATGGCGAGCACTGGTAACTCGAGACCCCGATGGATGGCACTGACCACGGAGCAGATGCGAGAGACGTCCGGGAAATTCGATTGCCCACTGGGGACCAAAGTGGTGGATGTCGCGAATGCACTGGGAGATGCTGCACTGGATACAACGACCTCACATCTGTTCAGATAAGTTCACAGCATGAGTGCATTGTAACCTTCATGTCCACTGCGAGTCTAGAGCGTGTTGTTCGGGAGGGCTTTTCTCTATTGGATAAGACTATTCAAACGTACTGGATTCGATCCTCCAGCTGCATATATCTGACCTCCCTGTCTGGATCTCGGACATTGCATTGACGGACGCTCTCAAACCGTACAGTAGTCCAGCTTCAACAGTTCGATACGGGCAAGTCACCACAAAGCATGGCTTCGATGTTACAACCGGGGTACGCTTTTTAAGCTTCAAACTAGGGAAACAATGCCCCTCCATTCCAGCCTACGTTCAAACGGCAGGGGGTCACGTCTTTGCCGTACGGTATAAGGATCAACCACGCACCTGTAGGGTATGCGAGTCCCCAGGTCACCTGGCCGCGGACTGCCCCACCAGGCCACGCAACCCTCGTGGAACGTACGCTAACAGGGTCAAATCGGGACCCCAGAAAGGGCGCGAGGATCCGCCACTGCCTGAAAGCCTAGCCTCAGGGGCCGTTTACATGAGGAAAATAAGCCCGGGCTTATTCGCCTCGGGCTTATTTTTCAACCGTTTACATGACGGTTGTACGGGGCTGAATTCAGGTGAGTGACTGCGAGTTCTGCGCGCATTATATTTTTCAAATCGCACATGAACGCAGTGGTAAATGTTCGTGTTTGATGAAATTTGGATCAAGAAATGCCGGCTCAGGTTTCTACTGCCTTTCCAATTGTCACTTCTTTTTCGAGAAGGTGAAGGATGGGCTAGGACCTTCCACTGGACAAAAACCAGAAGAAAACATACCAAGAAATAAATAAAAGAGACGCACTGTCCACGGCCACATTCTCTCAGGTTTACGAGGCAAAATCGAAAAATACGGAAAAACTCGCTTATAAGCCCTTCTTGACCGTTTACATGACAAAATAAGCCCTGGGGGTTGGATAAGCTCGGGGGCCAAGGGTAGGGCTAGTTCAGCTCGGGGCGAGCTGAATAAGCCCGCCTGACCATGTGAACGCGCGCTCTAAAATGACTGGGTGACTGATCAAGGCGGGCTTATCGTAAGCCTAGGGTTGAATAAGCCCGGGCTTATTTTTCTCATGTAAACGGCCCCTCAGCTGTCAAATCGATACCCCAGGAGGTCATCGGTTCAGACAAAGCGCGCGAGGATCAGCCACAACACGAGAGCCTGGGCGCTTCTCCAGCTGGTCAGGTCGACTCGAGACCCCTGGAGGAGGGCACGGGTACACATGGCAGTCAAGACTCAGCTTCTGCCGTAACTGTCAAAATGCGACCTGAGCATGATAAACAAAGCAACCACGTGGAACTTGACCTGACTCTGTCTCCTGACAGCAGCTGGGCCGAGGAGTCGGACTGTCCACCTGAGGGGAAACTCTCAGGGGGCGATGAGGCTAGAGCATTGGCGATATTGGCAGACTGCTTCCACAAGAGGCCGCGGGAGTCGACCTCCCCATTGGTAGTTTCTAGTGATAACCAGAGGAAGAAGAAGGCGAAAAAGATCACTGCGTCAAGCAATAAGCAGATAACTTGGCGCAGATAACATCTTCTCCCCCGGTGAAGCCCTAGGTATACAAACACAATCTGGTTTTCCCTGTCCTACTTCAACCTCGTGTCTTCCTCCAGCTTCCTCATTCTTATCTTTAGCTTGATCCTTTTAGGTATTTCATTAGATTTTAGGACCCTTAGCAATACATGTAACTACGCACCCGCTTACGCCAAATGTCCCTCCCCTTTTTTAATTACTTCCTCCTGCAATGAGGGGGATTCTCTGCACAAATGCTTTCGGCCTAGCCAGCAAACTTCCCGACCTACAGCACGCACTCCTGCAGCATCAGCCCGACGTAGCAATTGTGACAGAAACGAAGTTCACTGCGGAGAAAGTGCTTCCCTCTGACATTAGCTTCCCTGGATACAGCTCACCACTTCGGTTGGACAGAACGGCACATGGGGGAGGGTAGCCATCTGGGTGAAGTCGTCACTCCCCTCCATGCTCATCCCTGAACTCATGTCCCCCCCCCCACATGAGATCATCTGGGTTTCTCTCCAGCTGGCCCCAGGTCTCCGCACCGTCTTGGGAGCAGTGTATCGGCTGGGGTCCTGTGCCCCTGGCGATCTTACCTTAATCGATCATCTCGACAACATCCTCCCAGAAGCTAGACACCAAGGCTCCCATATCATCCTAGCTGGCGATTTCAACGTTCACAACCGGGCTTGGCTGAACAGCTCGAAAACTACGCCTGCAGGCGAGGCTCTCGAAGATACCTGCGCTGCCCATCTTCTTGTCCAGCATGTCACAGTACCGACTCGTGGAGACAACCCGCTAGATCTCATAATGTCAACGTTCACGTCCCCAGTAACTACACGTATACTTCCGCCCCTCGGTCGATCTGACCATGCAGTTGTCGTATCCGGACGGCCCGGGGTTAGACCCCACGGCTGCGGTCGTCGACATGAACTAACTTACTAATCAACCTTCACATTACAAGGCCGTGCAGTGGTGGCCACTTGGAGAGAGTCCACCAACAGAATTACTCTTACGCACGCACGCACACATACCTAGACATATTCTCACACACACACTCAGGCATATACAGACACGTACACTCACACCAGCGTTCAGCTCAGGTTGACTCACATCTTGAAAGGAGCTAACTGATACTTAGTTCAAGAGCCGATCTTGAAAGCGCAAGGCAAGAGAGACGGAAGCCGAAGCTTCCGCCTGAAGGCGGAAAGCAAGAGAGAGAGAGAAAAGCAAGGAGATGGCAATATGATCTAGTTGCGGCCATGGAAATCCATCGCCACGAGATTGCTAATACCGCATGCAATAGCGTATCACCGTAATAAATATGCGTACGAACTGTTGCATAAAGAGCGGGAGCCATGTGGGGAAATATAAAATAAAGACGATTATGAACCCGTTTACGGGAGATAGATAAATAATAAAACAACTAAATAAGGCATACTTGTCAGGTAGAGGCCTAAAAGGCACGTGCCAATCGTATGGATACGACATATCCCCCCGCTTACACGGAAAAGAACACGTCCTCGTGTTATAAGTAACGTAATAAATTAAACTAAGATTATGGCTAACAATTTAACTAAACGAGTGCAGGTCACAATTGGAGTTCCGATCAAAAACTGTTCAAAGACTAGCTGTAATATTGGCCACAACCAATCCAGTCAATACCACTGAAATCCTTACTCGTGCCAGACGGGACTCCCAAACAGCTGAGGTGGATGGCGGGAACGCGGGGTTCGCCTTTCCATCACGCCAACTGGCGGAGCACTGTCGAATACCCGAGCGGTGTCCTTCTCGTCTCGGGCGGCGGCATCAGTGGCATCAGGCTGGTAGGACGGAGTCAGGGTGGATGCCATGGGCTGCGGTGGGTCCGACTCATCTTGTTCGTGAACCTCCTGCAGCCGACTCGGTCGATGATGACAACTTTTCAGCCGGTTGACGTGCACTATCAGCCGACGTGCCGTGGGCTCAGACAGCTTGATGCGGTAGGTGACGGCGGAGAGCTTCTCCTCGACTAGGTACGGTCCGTGCCACAGTCTAGAAAACTTGGCGGTTGTACCCGTCGGAATGGCCGGCACCAGAAGCCACACTGCATCACCAGCTGCAAACGTCACGGCCTTAGCGTTACGATCACGGGTATGCGCTTGATAGCGGTGCACGTTGCCCAAGTGCTCCCGAACCTGCGCATGAGC